TTTGCCAAATGTGAGGGGACTAGAAACATGAGACATGAAAACATGAGAGAAGTTTTCACTGTTTTGGTAGAGATATGGCATTTTGCTGCTGTTCCATGGTGCTTCGCTAAACCATATGGAGGATTTTGCCAAATACACCTTGAATTTTGAGAATGTCATCTCAGTTTTGAGAAATGAGCCAAACTAATTGAAAAAAAAACCTGTAAATCAACTTAAACTTGTTCAAAAGTTGGGGATAAGTTGGTTCAAAATGACTGAGTGTAAGCTGCTCCTGAGAGTGTCTGCCCATCCCCCAGCTGCATTTTTTGCAGGGCCATCCTGAGCAACAGCTACAGAAATTTGTATGCAGTCTTTAGTGCTGTGGAGGATAAATAGGTGACTGCTTCACCTATTTTGTTGACAAGAAACAAAATGCAAAGGAGGCTAACCACTCAACAGGCATTGGAACTGATCGTGAGCAAGGCCAACCCTTGTGACTCAGATGGAGAAGACAACCAGATTCAGACTCTGAGCTGTCTTCAGGTTAGATTTCTCAAACTACCTATTTTCATTTCTTGCCTATCTCTTTTTATTTAGAACCAAACAAAAAGTTAATTTAAAATTGATTATCTTGCAGATGAGGAGACGACTCTATCAAAAAAGAGAGCTCGGTTTGGAGTGAGCTGAAAGAGACCTCAAAATATGGCACAGTGTGGTGTAAAAAACAAGTGGGGACATGTCTCCATATTACTCCAATAGAACCTTACGCCACAGCAGGAGAGCCAATAGCTGAGGCCATTGTGGATGTGATGGACCAAATGGTGCGGGAGTACAGCGTGCGTGCAGGAACACAGAGATGGCCAGTCGCCGTGTTCTACAACATGATTGACATGGCAGCACTGAATGCACATGTGCTTTATCAGGCATGCATTGAGGTGCAGGAGAGACGGGTGAACTTCCTGGTTGAGCTTGCAAATGAGTTGGGTGACGGTCATGTGAGTGAGAAGAAGGCACGCAAGGAGAAACTGCTTCAGCTAAAACCTTCCACACCCAGCCCTGGCAAAAGGGCAAAGTGTCAGGTCAACCATCGTTGCACAAACAATTGTGCAACTTTGAGATGTGTTGACTGCTACAAATATACATGTGGCAAATGTACCAGAGTCATACCCTGGCAGTGCCAGGTATGTTCCGACAGTGCAGACTGATGCACTCACTCACTCACTCAAACGCATGCACGCACGCACGCATGCTCGCGCGCGCGCGCGCGCACACACACACACACACACACACACACACACACACACATGCAGCACCCCACTGCAGCTTAGTGTAAATATGTGTGAAATTGATTTATTCCTTGTACTTTTTGGATCATTTTTATGACAAAAATAAAAAGCATGGAAACTAATAACAGTTGTTCTTTTGTATATTTCTCATGCTGAAATTTAAGTCCTCTTGACTTGGACACAAACGCTTCTGGTCTTTGCTCACAGCTGGACCTGGAAAACCTTATTTACAAAACAAAAGTGGCTGTTCACAACTCATTATACAGTGTTAGCTAAAATCCTTCGGGTCACTCGACCCATCTCTGGGTTCCAAAGGTAGAAATGTTAAATGACCCTTCTCTGGGACTTCTAGTGTTAATTGCTTGCTGCCGTTTTAAAGCATGTGCTGTTTTGTTTATCGCCAGCAGAGGGCGCATATTTCCCATTCTTTCAAGGAAACAAAATAGTGTTTGGAAGAAATTAGCTAAAGTCTTTTTACTAAGGAAGTCTTTAACCTTTATTAATCCAGATTCATCTTCTCCTTTAAATCTTCCTCTTTTTCCTCCACATTATTCATATTCCAAAAGGTTTAAAAGAAAGATAAAGATTTTTTTAAAGCTTCATTAAGATAAGGAGTTTAAAATATTTCCTTCTAAATGGCAAAAACAAACACAAGTGCAGTATCAGGACACAGCAATAGAAGAACAACAGTTTCCCATCTTACTTTTATGAACTGCTTTTGGAAAGCTAGTGCTGTTCTGTTTATCGCCAGCAGAGGGTGGATATTTCACAATATTTTCAGACAAAAAACTGTGTTCAGAAGAATTTAGATTAAAGTGTTTTTTCCCAGAATATATATTTTACCTTCCTTAATCCAGTTTAATCTTCTCCTCCTTCTCCTTCATGATATTATAATTCCTAACATGTTTACCAAATAGATTAAGATTTTTTAAAAGCTTCATTAAGACAAGGAGGCTAAAAAATTCTATTCTTAATGGCTAAAATGAAAACAACATGCAGTTACAACATACAGCCACAGGAGGGCAGCATCTTATCTTTCCCTTAATTGCTTGCTGCCGTTTTAAAGCTAGTGCTGTTCTGTTTATCGCCAGCAGAGGGCGCATATTTCCCATCCTTTCAAGGAAACAAAATAGTGTTTGGAAGAAATTAGCTAAAATCTTTTTACTAAGGAAGTCTTTAACCTTTATTAATCCAGATTCATCTTCTCCTTTAAATCTTCCTCTTTTTCCTTCACATTATTCATATTCCAAAAGGTTTAAAAGAAAGATAAAGATTTTTTTAAAGCTTCATTAAGATAAGGAGGTTAAAACATTTTCTTCTAAATGGCAAAAATAAACACAAGTGCAGTATCAGGACACAGCAATAGAAGAACAGCAATTTCCCATCTTACTTTTATGAACTGCTTTTGGAAAGCTAGTGCTGTTTTGTTTATTGCCAGCAGAGGGTGGAAATTTCCCAATATTTTCAGACAAATAACTGTGTTCAGAAGAATTTAGATTAAAGTGTTTCTCCCCAGAATATATATTTTACTTTCCTTAATCCAGTTTAATCTTCCCCTCCTTCTCCTTCATGATATTATAATTCCTAAAATGTTTACCAGATAGATTAAGATTTTTTAAAAGCTTCATTAAGACAAGGAGGCTAAAATATTCTATTCTTAATGGCTAAAATGAAAACAAAGTGCAGTGACAACATACAGCCACTGGAGGGCAGCATCTTCTTATCCTACCCTGTGTACCTGGGGTACATATGGCGTTAGACCCGTGCCACAACCCGTGCACGCGGATTGGGTCCATATCGCGCGTGTGAACGTGACTTGCCAGTGAAAACATACATGGCGAGAGGTCATTTGTGCACTGAGAGGGAGCAAACTGTGTCTTTGAGCGCACAAGGATGTGTACAAGTGACAAACCTGCGTGCGCGCGTTGCCAATGAGCACACGGCAGAGGAAAACGTGCGCGCGCGGCAGCTTCTCTGCGGGCTCGGTTTCTGACTCCGCTCGCTCGGCTGTTAAGGGGTTTTGGCACTCTGGAGGCGTGGCCTGTGGCAGATCTTCTCTGTCCTCTGATTGGTTAGTTTTGCCCGCACTTTACCCTTTAACTCATTGGCCCATTGGCTTCCTGTCGGACCAAAAATGATGGGAGCTATATAAAAAAATCTGATATGTTGTCATAGCTCAGCTGGGAGAGCGGGTGACTCTCCCCCCAGAGGATCCAGGTTTGAGTCTGGGCAAGGAAAATAGAGTTGATGTTATGTTATTTTTTTCCTAATTCCTGTGATATTATTTTACAGTTGTGACCGTTCAACTGTCATTAAACGTCCGAATGTTTGCTGGGCAGTGTTTTAAAAAGTGCACATAAGCCAGATGGTTTTAACCATATAACATTATATTTTTTGTGACACTGGAAAAATACATACTGAAATAAAACTACTGATTGAAAACTTTATGACTGTGGTTGTACAATATATGAGTCACTATTACACTGCAAAGGCCCTTAGAGTGGGGCTTCGAGAGAGAGAGAGAGAGAGAGAGAGAGAGAGAGAGAGAGAGAGAGAGAGAGAGAGAGAGAGAGAGAGAGAGAGAGAGAGAGAGAGAGAGAGAGAGAGAGAGAGAGAGAGAGAGAGAGAGAGAGAGAGAGAGAGAGAGAGAGAGAGAGAGAGAGAGAGAGAGAGAGAGAGAGAGAGAGAGAGAGAGAGAGAGAGAGAGAGAGAGAGAGAGAGAGAGAGAATTTGTATTCTGTCAAAGTAGTAATATTACTTCAGCCACTCTTGAGAGGAGACTCCAGGTAAAAATAGACTTGTGGGTGTAGGTATGTTCAAGTTAAAAAAGTTCTTGCCTCATTAATGTATTGTTTATTTTTTTCAGCATTTAATTGACAAATTATCCTTTCAAGTAATTAATTGATGAGTTACATAATTGTCCATTTAGAATTGTTGAATGGACTGAGTCAAGTTTGGTGCACTTTATATATTTCAAAACATGTTTTTTTATTTTAATGATGCATATAAATAATTTAAATGTTAATTTAATGAAATATTTCTATTTTTTCATTACCTCACCCTTGTTTTGACAAAAACGGGACCTTGCTGGATAATATCATGGAGAAACTATTTGTTCACAGTACTTGGCTCAGTGAGGATCTGTATACCAAAGGAGGAGATGCTCAGAAATCTGTCTGCAGATTGTTACAACCCAGACTGGAAGTGGTGGGCTGTAATAAGAAAGGAGACCAAACAGAGGAGTGGGGGTTCAACAATTGATTTATTTAACCAAAGTAAGGATTTACTAAAGCAAGTTAGTGCTCCCTGCCAGTCAGCAGGGGGAGTTAGATGATCACTAACAGACGGAAAGTGTCAGCTTCTTTGTCGATCCTTTCTAAATCAACTTCTTTTATGTTTCAAAATCATCTTGTTTTTTGTCCAGGTCTGCTTCATTATTATTTATAACTATTAACATTTTTTACATGTTATGTTATCAAAATGTGGGAATAAAATGTTTAATCTGAAAAAAGTTGATCTGTTTTCAATTTTCAGTTTAGAAGTTTAAACATTTCAAATTCAATCATTGATCAAACTGATTGAAATAATGTTAACGAAAAGTTCCTGGGTGACCAGATTCAACTTTAGTAAAAAAAAATTAATAAATAAACACTGAAATTTCCTGGGTTGTTTCATTCTTGTTGGTTACAAATAAAGTTTTTTGTTTTAAAAAAAAAAGCTCAATCGTTTTTTTTCCTTCTGGGCATGCTCAGTCCTGTCTGACTGAACTTTGACCCTACAGCCTCAACCACAATGGTAAGTTAATTGTTCTTAGACGTTATAGTGACCTGCTAAAGACATGAAACTCTCCAGTCTTTTCTACTAAACTCAGGTCTCATTTTTTCAGTCTTAGGTCTCTTGTCTCAGAGTTTAGGCTATAAAACTCATTAGGTGTAATGTTTTAGGTCTAAGGGCAAGTCAAAATGTGTGCAGCACTTTTAAATGGCAACACCCGTTGCCCCAAAGTGCTACACATAGGCAGTGAAAGTAAAAGCAATAGTAAATAATAAAAGACAATACAATCACAAGCGTGTGTTCTCTGTCGCATTGGACAGATTTTTAGAAAAGAGAGCTCGACTCCGTCCGTCCTTGCGAGCCTGCTGGAGAGCCCTCACAAGTGTTATGGTGATGCGTGCATCCGTCCCGACGCAGACAGTGAAGGCTCAAGTCCGGTGCTGGTCACCGGAGGCAGTTGAGAAACTCCAGGGCTGCCTCACGTG